TAACCTTCATATCCCTATGAAGTGTAACATTCATGATGCCATCACAATAAAGTGCACGGGTTAATTTAAGAAGTAGATGATAGAAATCGATTTTTCATGACCCTAGCATAAAAATGTAATTATAAGAATTGAATGCTTCTTTTGGTAATTTTATAGGGTTGTAAAAGTGTTGATCGTGCGCACATTTATAGAAAGAAGCGCTTCCGCTTCATACAAAATGTGCTTCGGTCAACACTTTTACACCCCAATAAAATTACAAAAAGAAGCATTCAATTCTTAAGTTAATTGGTTTCAACAGGTAAATTAATGTACATTTCATTGTGCTGTATGTTTCTCCGCCAGATGTGAGGCCTTTTTAAAGGAGGATTTTTTCCAATATTTAAATCAAATAAATAACAATAACACAATAAACAACAATTAAAAATGTGTTTTTCTAAATTGCAGTATAAAGACAATAATAGTGTATTGACTTGACATATCAACGATATAAGGATTCGGCCCGAAACGGGGAAAAAGCTCGGCAGAGCCTCGCATTTCCCCGTTTCTAAGCCTCATCCTTATATCGTTGATATGTCAAGTCAAGACACTTTTATTGTCTATTTATACTGCACTCGTTCTATTTGAGCAGTCAAAATGCGTTGACTGTATATTTCTATGGCATATACAGTCACTGACCCGATATCACTTTTCCTCATGAATATTTAAATAGTAGAGCCGGAACTATATATAAATTATCATGATGACCGCTTCAACCTAGCTGTAGCGTGGAACGACTCAAATTTATTTCTTTTACAATTGTTGGAAAAACATATGTCACTTGTTAATATTTTTTGTTTAAAACCTATAAATCATTGTTTTATGCTTATTGTTGATATTTTAGTCCATACTCAAACGAATGTTTTCATCATCGATTGTTTTCAACAGGTAATGTACATTTCATTGTGTTGTATTTTTCTCCGCCAGATGTGAGGCCTTTTTAAAGGGGGACTTTCCTAATATTTAAATCAAATAAATAACAATAACACAATAAACAAAATTGAAAATGTTTTTTTTTCTAGATTGCAGTATAAAGACAATAATAGTGTATTGACTTGACATATCAACGATATAAGGATTCGGCCCGAAACGGGGAAAAAGCTCGGCAGAGCCTCGCATTTCCCCGTTTCTAAGCCTCATCCTTATATCGTTGATATGTCAAGTTAGTACACTATTATTATAGATTATCGTTGATCATCTCAACGAGATTGATTTTCTCCGGCTCAAGCGATAAAAGCAATCGAGTTGAGATGACCAATGATAATCTGTTTATCGCTATTTTACCTATGACGACGTTGTCAATTTCATGTCAATTTCATTAGCAACGGCAAGTGCCCCCTTAGTTTCTAGCGATAATTTTCATATCACTCGACTCCGCTGAGAAAGGAAATTATCAGTCAGTAAGATCAAAGGAAATTTTCGTAAAATAGCGATAATTGTCTATATAAACGATTTCTGTATATATACGAAAAGGCACAAAAATACATAGTTGAATGATATACCTCTATACACAAATTTTAATTAGTAAACGTAAATACAGATTTCGAATTAAATATATAAAAAGTATTCGAACTACCTATATATGGGTCATTATAAAAAAAACATGCATATTTCGATGAGGGAAATTTCGGGAAACTGATGTCATAGTTTTAAAAATTAAAATATTTCCTGCTATTCTGAAATATGGTAGCAACTATATTCAGAAATATGCAATGGGGAAAATTAGGAGTTCCTTCAATTCTAACAATTTTAGGTCATCTTTTGATAGAATCATGTCAATGGTGTTACCAATATAAAAACTTGCATTTAGTTATTAAAAAATATTTTTAAATACCAAACAACTGTTCCAATGTGTTGTTAAGGCCAAAAAAAAATAATACATGTGTTTCCGCTAACGTACTGGGAAAAAGTAGGGAAGGTAGGTAGGCAATATCATTTTATTTTACAAACATTTTTTAGCTACTTACTACTAGGGAATCTGTCTGACTTTAACAGTACTTGTTCAAAACTGGCATAAAAAGTGTTGGGGTAGGCACTAAAAATTAGGGTAGGTAGGGTTAGCGGAAACACATGTATATTATTTTTTTTTTTTGCCTAAGGGTTAAATTACTACGCGCGTTATTCAGTGTGCACCACATTTATGATGTTATTTCTTCATAGACAGAAAAAATATAAAAGTCATTCCTTAAATAAAAAAATAAAAATTATTGCATTTTTATATAGCAACACCACTGACCATTCAGTACCTACAATGACAAAAAAAGTATCACCATTGACAACAAAGTTCAAATTTACATTTATTAAGTACTGAACACAAAACAAAGAAAACTAAGCAAAAGAAAAAGAAAAAAAAAATTCTTAGGCTAAAAAATCCCAAATTATATAACATAACATCAATAACTAAAAATGTCAATAGTGTTACTAAATAGTGTCATTGGTGTTACCAGCATACACCAGTTTGTGAAAACTTGGTATAGGTAGTACATTATATTGTTAAATAAGTATTATATTTCAATTTTCTTCTTTATTGGTGTTCATATAAAGATAAAACTTGGTGAATATGATTTTAATGTAATTATGAACATAATAAGATAATAAGTCAAAAATTGCTAAGTTTCCCTGTAAAAACCTGAGCGATAAGGCGGGTGTCATATGTGGAGCACGTCCGTTCGTCCGTCTGTCCCGCTTCAGGTTAAAGTTTTTGTTCAAGATAGTTTTTGATGAAGCTGAAGTCCTTGAAGAACTTGAAACTTAGTACACATGTTCCCTATGATATGATCTTTCTAATTTTAATGCCAGATTAGAGATCCCAATTTCACGGTCCACTGAACATATAAAATTATAGTGCGAGTGGGGCATCCGTGTACTATGGACACATTCTTGTTCGTTTTTCTTTTGTCATGGTTTTGTCGGTTCCTCTTCGACTAATGCCTTTTGATTGTCTCCTTGGTATCTTATGCCTTTTTTAAAATACTTTTGTGTCTGTGTGACCGAGGAAAAAAATCATTTGAATCTGTGTTTTGCTGATATCGGACATTGGACTATTATCTTTTTATTTCTAAGAGAAGCTATAATTTATGCTTAATGTTTTACGAAAGTTTAATTTAGAATTCAAATGTCGTTGTGCTTGAATAACTTTCTCAAATTTCATTTTATTTATGATTTAATGTTCACTCTATGTTTCTAAAATACGTTAAAAGAACAACTTCATATGGATTTTAGAAATTTACGCAAGTCAGTTCATTTTAAGTCTTGCTTTAACCCGTAAATGTTTTATTGTATAGTGACAATGTTTTCAATACCCAATTTTATCAGTTCTTGTACAGGAACATGTATGATCATGTACATGTATAATTACAGTGACATTTATCCGTTTTTCAATCATTTTAAAGTGCTAATTGTATTCTTTGTAAACGTTCTCAGTTTTATTGTTACATAATCTTTATAATTTGTTCTTGGCTTTTGGCAGCATGTAAATATTATCTTTCTTTATAATTTGTTGACTGAAGTTTAGTTTTCAGTCGGAGTCTGCCTTCCGAACTGACATAACCCGTTATTTGGAAGTGAAAATAAAATTCTATACTGAAGGTCAGTGTTTGTAATTGGTCTACCAGACTGTGTTAGTTCCGCCAGTGGTCTTGTGTTCTATAGCCAGGTAATCAGTCGTCGTTCATATCTGTGTTTTAGCATCTTCGCCAGTTTCCGCAAAAAATCCTGTTGCATTCGATCTCATTCATCCCCGTAACAGCGTTCAACTTGGTACATGTACATAAAAGAGAGCCGAAAGATACCGAAGGTTAATTCATTTCATAAGTCGAAAACAAACTGACAATGCCATGGCAAAATAAAACAAACTGACAATACCATGGCAAAATGAAACAAACTGACAATGCCATGGCAAAATAAAACAAACTGACAACGCCATGGCAAAATAAAACAAACTGACAATGCCATGGCAAAATAAAACAATCTGACAATGCCATGGCAAAATAAAACAAACTGACAACGCCATGGCAAAATAAAACAAACGAAAAAATGTAACCTTGAAATGAAACAACATTTTCATCTTTGTTGAATATTACATTGTCTCCAGTATCAATCAATATTAAATAAAAATCGTGTAGCCTTTAGAGAGCTACCATTTCATTTCGATGGGGGTAGGATGAAATTTGAAAAAAAGGCAGGACGAGCAATCTGGCCCAAAAAAAGGCAGGATGACAATTTATGTAAAAAAAGTCAGGATAAACTAATACAAAAAAGGCAGGACCGAATAGAGTGAAAAATAAAAATACAGGACAAACTTTTTCCTCTTAGTAACCCAACCCCCTCCGCACCAAAAACGGCAAACAATAGTACACAAAACACAACATAGAAAACCAAAAACTGAGCAAAATGAACCCTACCGAAAAACCGGATGGATCTGTCAAATGTGCATTGATAATGTTGTACTGTGTGCTTCATAGTTTTCTTATACATGTACGTTATCTCCCCCAGATGACTTAAAGAAGTGCATATCTTATTCTACATGTTTTTAACGGTGGTATTTGGTCATATAATATATAAATTGTTGGGTGTTATACCTGTATTACATATTGACATTTTGGGATGTATAAATACGCACACACACACGTTCCGTATTGAATTTTTATTTGTTGTATTTTGTTGTATGAATATAAAAATAAGAAGTTGTGGTATAATTGCTAATGAGACAACACTCCACCAGAAACTAAAATGACATAGAAGTTAATAACGATAGTCGTACGTTGACCTATGAAATCTGTTCAAAAGTAAGGACTAAAATAAAAAAAAATAACTATATGGATACAAGCACTGAAAAATTATGCAAGGAAATACAAAATTTATCAGATATGCATAACTAGTATTTATATCTCATTCAATCTCAAACTAAATTCATTATGTACCCGGTATTAAAAAACAGTTTAAAGGTTTAACGAGATCTACGATATGCTCCATTTCGCACTATGTTTGCATCCAGAACATGGGGTTTTAATAAACATACTTTAAAAAAATTGTGGAATCAATAAATACATTATTCATGTTGTAGCAAATGTAACTAGCGATTCCATTTATACAGGAGATGATCGACTATTCGTTTATATACACGCAATAGCTGTTAAGGTATGTATAATATACAATAGAATAGTAAATAGCAATTCTCATCGTGTGTTCAAAATCGAAATGCAGCCATTGTTTAAAGTCGGTCAATATATAGGATTCCATCGATACACTTTACTGTTGATATGAGACATGGAACGGAAACCTGTGTTGTACTAAGTAATTGACGACATTGTTATAGAAACAACAAACGTAAACCAGTGTTGTAATTGACGACATTTTTAAAACTATACTTCCTTGTCCTGTGTAAATAGGATGGAGACGCCACAGACGATTGAAATCCCGTGTATACAGGGTGGAGACACCACAGACGAAATCCTGTGTATACAGGGTGGAGACACCACAGACGATTGAAATCCCGTGTATACAGGGTGGAGACACCACAAACGAAATCCTGTGTATACAGGTGGAGACGTCGCAGACGGTTGAAATCCTGTGTATACAGGGTGGAGACACCACAGACGATTGAAATCCCGTGTATACAGGGTGGAGACACCTGAGACGAAATCCTGTGTATACAGGGTGGAGACACCACAGACGAAATCCTGTGTATACAGGGTGGAGACACCACAGACGATTGAAATCCCGTGTATACAGGGTGGAGACACCACAGACGAAATCCTGTGTATACAGGTGGAGACGTCGCAGACGGTTGAAATCCTGTGTATACAGGGTGGAGACGCCACAGACGATTGACATTCCGTGTATACAAGGTGGAGACACCACAGACGAAATCCTGTGTATACAGGTGGAGACGTCGCAGACGGTTGAAATCCTGTGTATACAGGGTGGAGACGCCACAGACGATTGAAATCCTGTGTATACAGAGGGAGACGCCACAGACGGTATACAGGGTGGTGACGCCGGATACGGTTGAAATCCTATGTATACAGGGTGGAGACGCCGCAGACGGTTGAAATCCTGTGTATACAGGGTGGACGCCGCAGACGGTTGAAATCCTGTGTATACAGGGTGGAGACGCCGCATACTGTTGAAATCCTTTGTATACAGGATGGAGACGTCGGAGACGGTTAAAATTCTGCGTATAGAGGATGGGGACGCCGGAGACGGTTGAAGTTTCAAATCCTAGCGTAATTCTAAGAATCGGTAACGTTTGGAAATAGAGGTATCTGGGGATTTCTATCATTTAAAGGGGAGAGGTAATCAGTTCTGTTTATCTAATTTTCCTAGATTTTCGATAAACTAAATTGGATTCCGGTTTCCAAGAACTGATGTCGATGACGCAGTCAGGCCGCATGCATATTCAGGGTAAGCATATACTGTTGTCCTATTTCACTAGACTGTCATTGCAGTCTCCATGCACCAATAATTTACGAGATAAGATTAGCTCTGGTCTTGAATTTTAGTGAATAGAATGTGCTGACTTTAGTAGCAAAAATGTGTGCACTTTTAACCATTCCCCATTTGTTTATTTATATTTATGAAGATAAAACTCTATAAAGATCTTATATGTTACTGAGAAAGTTTGAATTTCAAGCTTATAAATACTGAATATCTTGCCCATCACATATAAACGATGTGGTGCATTAATATGCACAGTAGTCATCTTTCACCCTGTGGGTACAATTCGCAGAAAACGTTACAGATTAGTTGTTTTGAAAAAATAAATTTTAAATGAAATCTTTTTCATATCTTAATTTCATAAAAACTTGTGTCTTTGCATAGATACATGTGTTTAACTTTTCCGTATATACTATGTCAATTCAGTTGAAGGTAATAGACTTAATTTTTGGCAGAATGCTGACATAAAAAAGTTAAGGTTTAATTGCCAAAGAGTGTTTGCAAATTGTAAAGTCATATTTAATGTTTGTAGCTTGAACAATGCTGACAGAATGAAGTTACTTCTTCATGTCTGAGATAATTGGATACCTGTTGTAAGAGAAAGTATAGATGTAAAGATTAGTATCGTCAATTTACCATATCTACATATTGATGTACAGGTTAAGAAACAGTCCCTAAAATTGTCGTTACATCAGAAGTTACAAAACTGAAGGAAAGACAATGACTGGCATGTATTTATAACTTAGTTCATATAGTTTTTTTTAACCTGTGCATTTTATAATTTATCGATTAGCTATATTATATGAAACTGAATAAGCTGTATATAAAAAATATAAAATACGATTTTTTTTTGTTAAATCATTAATGAATGTGAAATAGTATATTTTTAATCTATAATATGAAATTAAACAGACATAGAAAAATCCAAATGCACGAGTCTGCTATCTATTATATCTTTTTTTTAATGTTTATATCGCTTATATGGCAATCGGAGGTCTTCGGGGGTCAACTCGACAGTTAATTAGATGGCGTCTAAACTAAAATACACACGAAACGAAGCCCATGTACGGAATATTGTTTATTTTAGACTTTTTATAATTTGGATAAATGTTTTACATTGTTATAAATCAAATATGAGAATTTGGATCAAATCCGTGAACATGAATTTGATAGCTAGTGCCCCTTTAATTCCCTCATTATTGTACCGTTATTGTACACTGATTACTGTATCAAAAGTAAAGTGTTATTTCGTATTAGATACAATACAAAGGGAACAAAGAAACAGGCCGGTAACAACCGTTATCGGATAGTTTTTCTGCACGAGTAGTCAGGTGACTGACCTGACTACAAGTGTAGAAAAACTATACGGCAGTTTGTTTCCGGTCTGTTTTTTTGTTACCTTTGTTTTGTATCTGACTTGTACGACGTTTCAAGAAAGAAGTAGTACATTTTACATTTAGAAGAGGTAGCAAAATTAAACAGATTAGAAACTTAAATGGTCATATACCAGTTAATGTAAGTTACAGTATAAACAAACTTTTTTTTTACTTCCCTTTAGCCGAGAGTTTTTCTCTCGAGAAATTGAAGAGTCTAATAATTTTATAAAAAAGAACCATATCAAGTAAAAGATGAATATCGTACATATTTGAGACCGTTTAAAATGCAACTTTGCATGTATGAAAAAAATTTCAGAGGTTAGCAGGCTCACATTTGATTTGTATTTGGGGAAAACAGAAAAGGGGGGGGGGGGAGTAAATAAATTTTAAAAAAAATGCAGGATGTGCCATTCTATTCCCCAATTCCCCCTTAAAAAATAATAAAAATCGTACGTTTGCTCCCAAATATATGAATTCAATATAATTATATGCATTATGAATTCAATATATATATATGAATTCAATAACAATATAAATGTATAAAAAGAATGAATTTCCTATTTCATTAGAAAACAAATATGGTCGAAATGTCGGCGCTTTACTTGACCGCTAAGAAAACAACGTGTGGAAGGTTAAAAGATCATAATTAGCCCTAATAATAACAATACGTGTGTTAGTATAATAGTCCCAGTTAGTATATATATTTCCTGACACGGAATCTTTTTTATAAATTGCCAAAATATAGATTTTACATTAATTGCTTTTTTCAAAAATATAATTAAAAGTATGGGTCACTGTGCTATTTTTCAAGTTTTTAAAATATGCTTTTAAGAATATAAATCGAAAACATGGTTTCACCGAACTTGTTTTCTTGCTACAAGTAAAAAATGAAAATTTCGTCAACATTCCTTTTTAAAAATTTTAATCTAATAGTTATCTCCCCTTACTTTTCTAAGTTGAAAAATTCAATCAAGTGAAAACAAATATTTGGTATTTGTTAAAACAAACTAAATAATGTAATAAATCACTTGTTTTTCTTTATTTAAATAAAGTCTTGCATATCAATTGCCAATCTATCTCAAAACTTGCAGATTTAAGGAAAGAACTGGACCGATTGTTAACTGCTATTTTACTTCCAAGATGGCGGTATACAGTTAATCTACCTTAATCTACCGTAAAAGCATATTTACAGAATATCAGACAACGAAGCAGTATCATAATACTTGAATTTTTATCCGTAATCTGCACATATAAGATCATATAATATACAGTTTATGGGAATTTTTTAATATTTCAAATTATTCAGTCGATCGAAACTTATCATCCTCTTGTAAATATGACCAAATTCTATATGTATCATGATTTTTTTTCTGACTTACTTTTGTCTACCATGTTTTATTAATGTAGGTTTCATGAAAAATGAATTCGGATGAAAACTATCCAAGGCGTGAAATTAAGGTTATAGAAAACTTGATATGACTTGAAATTGTTACACTACCTCGATGTTTTCTTATAAGCATTAATTCTTTTGAAACTTGACCTCTAAGTGAAGCATGAAAAAAGATAATACACTTTGACAGCGATTTGAGTTACAAATAACACCAACGAATTTTATTCTATTTACTAATTATTTGTACTTTTATTGTCTGAGAACTACACTCGGAATTCATACTTGAACTTTAAATAATGTAAAGTACATATACTGTCATGTCTACTCAATGTCTTGACTTATAAAACGAAATCGACAATTAGGGTCGGTTGACAACTACACTTGCCAGTTTTATCCGTTTTTAGTTTTCCATTATGTTGCAACATTCAACTGCACCTGTGCATGGAGTATATATGTTACAGTGAATTTGTATAATCAGTGATTATGTAGAATCCCTGATTTTTCAGGGAATATGTAGAATCACTAAACACATTAGTGATTATATATAATCCCTGATATTGACCAGTGACCTTCAAATGTTTGTATTGAAAACTTTATTTCTCTTACTAGTTCCATAAAATCTGATTCGATATGTGAAGGACAAGGTTTTTTTAAATGTGGATAATGTGGTAAAAAAAGATGCAAATCAATTAGAAGTGCCTGTAGAAAAGCAGGTCAAATGTGCAATAGTGGATGCCATCCAAATTTGTTTAATGATTGTTTTAATATATTGTACTTGCCATCTTAATACATTTTGTAACATTATGATATATATTGAGGTTATCATTTTAATATCTAGTGCTTAATATTTTTATTTTGTGTAACATCTTAAAATATTATGACTAACACTTTAATTATATATATTAATAAGGTTAACATTTTTATATATTGTGCTTAACATTTTAATAAATTGTGCCAAACATTTTAATAAATACATGTATTGTCATGTTTATTATGAAGTTTTAACATGCTGAATTTGATTTGATAGAATTAATTTTTTTAACTTTCATTCATTTTCTTTATACACAAAACTGTTTCTTCATTTCAGTTATTATGCATAATCCCTGACGTTTTTTCTAGTGATTTTACATAATCCCGGAAAATTTCAGTGATTATATATAATCCCTAAACTAACCAGTGATTCTACATAATCCCTGAAAATTTTAGGGACTCTACATAATCCCTGATTATACAAATTTGTATAATCAGTGATTATGTAGAATCCCTGATTTTTCAGGGAATATGTAGAATCACTAAACACATTAGTGATTATATATAATCCCTGATATTGACCAGTGATTTTACATAATCACTGAACATTTTACTAATTATTTTACAAATTCCCTAATACGATTTCAGGGATTATCAATAATAACAAAAATCAAATTAAGTGAACAGTTTTATTCAACTATTTAACCACATTATTTCACAAGCAAATAATAATGGCAGAGGAAAAAACAAAATACAAGATATGGACAAGGAACAAATACAGTGTTTTTTTTTATTTTGATGACAAAAGAACCTAGTTAAAAGTAAAATCACAAAAATACTGAACTCTGAGTAAAGAAGACAAAATATTATTATCTGCTGACAAATAAATATCTGAATTGTTTTATGCTGCTACCATGGCTACTATCCTTTATATTTCTGACATTTTACACTCTTTACAGCATTTTTCATTACTATAGGAGAGGGTGGAGGTTATTGGGCATGGATCTAAAAAAACATAATCTTAAATATCTGAAGAAAAAATATTTTGTGTAAAGAAATAGCTGTAAAAACTAGATATACAAAAACAAAAGTACCATTTATAATATGCACATTTATACTATTTGCGTCTCATTAGTATACTATTTTTTTTTATAACAAATCAGTGATTGATTCGTTGGGATGGGAGGCGTTGTGCAAAGAGGGGATAAATGAACATGAAATTCAAACTGAGAGAACTAATACAATAAAATTCTGCTCGGATCTTACACCAAAAATCAGTTCGAGGCTGCTGTTTCCTTTTTTTTGGGGTACCTTCAAATGTTTGTATTGAAAACTTTATTTCTCTTACTAGTTCCATAAAATCTGATTCGATATGTGAAGGACAAGGTTTTTTTAAATGTGGATAATGTGGTAAAAAAAGATGCAAATCAATTAGAAGTGCCTGTAGAAAAGCAGGTCAAATGTGCAATAGTGGATGCCATCCAAATTTGTTTAATGATTGTTTTAATATATTGTACTTGCCATCTTAATACATTGTGTAACATTATGATATATATTGAGGTTATCATTTTAATATCTAGTGCTTAATATTTTTATTTTGTGTAACATCTTAAAATATTATGACTAACACTTTAATTATATATATTAATAAGGTTAACATTTTTATATATTGTGATTAACATTTTAATAAATTGTGCCAAACATTTTAATAAATACATGTATTGTCATGTTTATTATGAAGTTTTAACATGCTGAATTTGATTTGATAGAATTAATTTTTTTAACTTTCATTCATTTTCTTTATACACAAAACTGTTTCTTCATTTCAGTTATTATGCATAATCCCTGACGTTTTTTCTAGTGATTTTACATAATCCCTGAAAATTTCAGTGATTATATATAATCCCTAAACTAACCAGTGATTCTACATAATCCCTGAAAATTTTAGGGACTCTACATAATCCCTGATTATACAAATTCACTGTAACATATATACCGTTATGATGATTTCCATTGATCCTGTTGCTTTTGACTTAAACGCGGATGTTGATGCCATGGGAACTCTGTATGGTGCACATTTTATAAAGAAACTAAGGTTTCAACTCCCTCAGGCAAAGTTGACCTTAGATGGATTTGGAAAATTTAAGGTCCTTTTTGGCTTTATAGCTTTTTAACTGTTTCGGTTTCTTATACATCCTTGGCTTTCAAATATTCAGCTGTGAGCGTTCCTGATGATGGTAAATCCAGAAAAGCACTTCGGACGCATGAAATTAATAACGTGTTGTTTTAATTTTTTCTATCCCAGACGAACTAAATATCACAACCTTTTCATTTAAAATCCTTTTAGTAATTCAGAGCTAGCGTGACCTCATGTTCATGTTCATACAATATATAAACCACCCCATCCCGATTCAGTCAAATGAGGGTAACAAAATTTGTACCTCCTGTATGAAATGTTGTAAAATTGTTTTGAACTAAAAGATTATATGTTAACTCTTTTTATATTTACAGGTGTAAAAAGACTTTGCATGAAACTCAAAGGTAACCCTTATATAATACAACTTTTTCTTCATTTTAAAAAAGACTTTTAAAAAGCTGAATATTTCAAGATATCTGTTGGATGGTCCACATTATTTGTATTGCGTTCACTGCCAACGGTAATCATTCTTTCGACTGTGTCCAGGACGAGACGAATTTGTGTACTATGAAAATGAAGATGTGTGTACCAGACTGACACGCCGATCATAGAATAGTAACAGTCTGCTGAAAGACATGAAAACGTGATTATTTTTAAAGACAACTCGTAAAAAAGTTGTATTGCAATGTTCGTTTAATATTAAGCGAGAAAGTCCTGTCAGACGATCAAAAAGTTTATCTACATTTTCGATCGAATTCACATGCAGTGCAAATTTAAGCTGGAAAAAATGTTTTTGGTTTAAAGACTTCTAGATAAAGTGGACTAGTCTAAAGATCTCTAGTTATTTGTGTCATTTAGATTTTGAATCAAAAACATGAAAAATATTACACACTTAGTTTGATATTTTTAAAAGACAGGTAGCGTCATGCTACCCAAAGTTCTAATATAATACTACTATGTCTATTTAAATAGAGAACCTCGATTTTGATTACACATATATTCCTTTTTTTTTGTCTTTAGTTTAAAGGTATATTTATTAACTATATATTTAAAACATAGCCTATCTACAAAAACGACAATGTTAAACAATATATATAATACATTCACAAAACATGATAAACAGTTTAAAAAAAAAATTGGCAAATTAACCCATTGTTTAAAAAAAAAAGCAACGTGTGGTTGTCAATGATTTCAGTAGATAATTGGCTAAGTTAAAAGGTCACTCACTACCTTTGGATAAATCGAAATATGCTAGCAGTTCTTTGAGAAAAGGGAATTTCCGTTTATCGATAATGAGAATTTATTTGATAATCAATAAAGAAACAGATACTTACTTAATTACTCGTGAATTATCGGATTTATCCAATCAAGAAAGTTAAATTATTGAATTTTAAAGTCCTCGAGGCTCGGACTTTACAATTGGATAGTTTTACTATCTCAATTAATCTACTTGAACCAATGAAATAATCTATATGTGAATATAACACTATTAAAAATTCAATGACCCGTAAGAATATTTAAAAAGCCGATGCAGTTTTATTTTCTTTTTTAATTTACAGGAAAATTCATTCAATACTTTTGGGCCACTTAAAAGAACCTTGATTTGTATTTTGCATGATTTAGTGAAAATATATATTTGGTGATGGAAGTCTGATATTGTTTGATTATTTGTTGGCACAATAATATATGATAGTTTTATTGATTTGTATATAACTGTTTTGATATCATATCTCTATTAGTTATGGGAACAGTCCCCGATTTCAGATTTTATTTGATATTTTGATGAGTCGAGCCGTTTGCAACTAATTTTTACAGTTTGTTCTTATGTTGTGTTGCTACACCACTGTCCCAAATTACAACTCCACATTTAGTGTGTGCCTGTTAAAGTCAGGAGCTAGTTATTCAGTGATTGACGTCGGTTACTGTATATCATATTTGTTTTTCTTTAATTGTTTTGTACATAAATCAGACCGTTGGTTTTCTTGTTTGGGATTTAGAGTTGAAAGTTGTAGGGTGACCTATAGTTGTTTACATTTGTCATTTGCTCTCTTCTGGATAGTTGTCTTATTGGCAATAATACCACATTTTCTTATAATCTTTTATTATATCTATAGAGGTTTTTCAAATATCATGTTCCTTTTGCATAATTCTATCTGTCTTTTTCTGCAATTCTAGTAGACCTTGACAAACTTTTATTCTTTTCAAATTACAACAGACAGGTATATCTGGTACTTTATTGAAATACTCGAAAATTTACAATCAGGAAGAACCAAAAGTATGGTAATAAAAGGTTCAAATTCTGAAAATATAAATTGAGGGGTAACACAAGGAGTCTTCTTTCTTTACTGTTTTGAATTGATACAGAATAACAATGGAATAATACCGCGATATAAAAGTTTCGATTTCCCTTTATCTACAGTATTCAACCTAGATTTCGCAATTTGACAGAACATGCTTCAAAGTTATATTAATATACCGGTATTTGTATGCCATTATTTTTAGGACACTGTTAAAAAAAGCCATGCTGCTTGTTTCTTTTGTTTAGTATATGATCTAATACTGCATGATTTAGACTATTCTTATAGTATTAATGTATGGACTTTTTCATGTTGGCCCTGTAACATGCCCGAGGTATTAATAATGGCCCAGTATGGTTGTAATGGCCCCGAGGCAGCGCCGAGGGCCATTACAACTGTCCGAGGCCATTATTTATACCAAGGGCATGTTACAGGGCCAATATGAAAAAGTCCATATATTGATACTTTTATTAACCAACTAAGGCAACTTCATTCAAGAACAGTCTTCGAGTCTCGGATCCAAATACAGCTAACCACGAGTCTATAACAGGACCAATACAAAAAAGACAGTTCATAACACTTTTATTACCGTAAATGGTTTTAATTCTTCGATTAAACAAAGAGTAAGAATCTTACCGTGAAGAAGATACAGGAATTCATAGCTGAACTTGTCTTTCGGCATTCACGATGGATTTTTGGTCAACATTGTCAGATGTAATTTCTGATTTCTCATCCAAGTACTTTATTTCATGCTATTACAATTCATTTCATCTAGCAAATATAAAGTAGCTGGGACGAATAAATCAGACAGTTTAACTATTCTTACTCTGAGTAGTCTGCGTAATGATAATTGATCAACGGAAATGAAACCGTCATAATAATCGAAAGTCGTACTCGAAAAAGGCTGTGTTATATTTCCGTTTCAAGTCGTTACAAAACACTGAACATCATTTAAAAAATTTTTTTTATGATATTAAGGTAGATGGGGTGTCTAAATTACAATCCATAGAATTTTTTAATAATTTGCCAAAATGTAGTGTATATCATGCTTTTTTAAAAAAAATAATAAAAAGAATGGGTCACGAGGCTTATTTTCACGCTACAGGTTGTGCAAAATTGACAGATTTTGTATAGATTATGCATGGAAAACACAATTTTCTGCCATAAAACGAAAACTACGCCATAGAATTTTGAGATAAAATATGAGAAGATAGCTCAAATATTATGCTTTCAGATAAGAAAAAGAAAAAGTGGGGTCACCGGACCCGTTTTCTTGCTACATAATAAAATAGGTAAATTCCTAACACATTCTATTGTAAAAATAACTTTATCTGAATTATCTGCCCTTACATTTGAGTTGCCTCCCCTTATGTGGCAAAGTTGGAAAAAATTGAATAAAACAAAAGTTTTCTGTTTTTTGTAAAATACAACCATAAATATGATAAAACATGTCATTTTCTATATTGAAATGAAAATTCTTACACATGAATTACCTACTACTCTCAAAATTTGCACATTTTCTTAATGATCTAGACCGATTGTTTTATGGTATTTCAAAATCCAAGATGGAGGAAACACCCTATCTACCTTAAGTTAAAAAAAATTTGAAAAAAGTTGTCACTTATTTGAAGATATAAAAGACATTTTGATTTAATCGATGTCCCGTTTCATCTGTTTATAATGCATGGCTGTGATTTCGTAATGCACGGGTGTGATTTCGTAATGCATGACTGAGATTTCGTAATGCATGGCTGTAGCAATTTCTCCGTTCATAATGACCAGTTGTCGAAATTTTCCTTTTATAAAGCATGGGCATTCCTGTACATATTGTAGTAAGTTGGTTAATAAATATTTTATTAACTGGCTGATTCTGTATTGGCCCTGTTATAGATTCGAGGTTAGCTGTATTGGACCCGAGACTCGAAGAGTCGAGGGCCAATACAGCTGATCGAGAATCTATAACAGGACCAATACAGAAACAGCCAGTTCATAACACTTTTATTAAATGATTTTAATTCTTTTAATTAGAATAAACTAATAAACTTACCGTGAAGAAGATACAAAATTTCATATGAACTTGTCTTTTCGCATTCACGTCCATGGATTTTTTGTCAACATTGTCAGATGTAATTTCTGATTTCTCGTCCAAGTACTTAATATTATGCTATTACAATTCATTTTATCTAACAAATATAAAGTAGCTGAGAAGACTAAATCAGACAGTTTAACTATTCTTACTCTTTGATCGTCTGCATTCTGATGATTGATCATCGGAAATGAAACGGTGTCAATAATCGAAAGTCATACTCGAAAAGGCTGTGAAATGTTTCCGTTGCAAGACTTCAAGACGTTATAATACACTGAACATCATTTAAACTTTTTATTTTATGATTTTAAGTTAAAAAATATAATACAAATGTTTTTATGCATAACGATACGTCCAAAGTTAAGTAAGGCGTAAGAAAATTGAAACCGGAAGTGAACGTCCCGTATTAGCCCATGGGCCAATACGGCTTTTTTCCGTATTGGCCCTGTCTGAAAAGCAATATTAACTCTTGATTTATATCGACAGGGCAACGTCGTCAGTATTGCACATGCTGATTTATCCGTATTAGGGCTGATTTGCTCATATCATTTAATAAAATAAAATATTGTAGAATTTAAACAGCTTAAGCTGGGTTCAAATTGAGGCATAGATAAGTTTGAAACAATTTATATCAAATTTTAGAACATTGCTTATACAATATTAATCAACTACTTTTGAAGTCGCTTGAGACTGTTTAGGGGACGACCATTTGATATTCTGGGGGGGGGGGGGGGGGGGGGGGGGGGCAGGAGGATTTTGAAAATAAATAACTCAGCCTTGATAATCACAAAAATAAATGGTTTGTTCTGTGGTAGTTCGAAAATAAATAACCTGACTTACAATGTATTGAAAATGAATAACTCGGCAGGTCTTTAAGCCATTTTATAAATGCTATTCGAAAGTATGAGGTGGCACCAGATTCTTCATAAAATTCATCTTTTTTTCAAAAAAAAATTCGGGAAACACTTCTCAAATCTTTTAATAATAAAGGTATAAATATTATTTAAATATACCTGAAATGTCTGAAAATGGGTTTCATTTAACTTGAGCCAGTTGAGGTATATTGGCTCAGAAACACTTACCTCACTTTTATTATAGGGCTGTAACTACATTGAGGCAAATGCCTTTATGTAGGAAATTTTAAAACCAAAAGCTTGTCTTCATATCAAATTGTTTTCACAGCGAGTGTTTGCAAGAAGCAAGTTCTGTTCTCCCTTGGACGTAGCACCTGTTTTTTCGGGATCAATGTTTCTTTAAATTTGTCTTTTGTTCATTGATTGCCCTTCTGTATTCTCTTAGTGTTGCATTCCTTTTGTGTTTTAGTAATTTTGTTTTCAACTTGATCATGAGTTTTATTTTATTTAAGACTTTTTAGCTAATTTTACAACTTAACTACTTTAAATTGTATCCCAGTTAAGAGCTACATCAAGTTGTAATTGAAATGTGTTATTAAAAATTACTTGACATAGTTATATCACTGATAATTAGCCCCCTCTTAACTTAATTTGAATAAAACCCCATATAATTTACAGGTATAAAAGATTTAAATTCTGCATGCCGAAACAACAACAACTAAAAAAAAAAAAAAAAAAAACCAGCAGCCACATACTTAACTATGTGAATTACATTTTTACTTTATTCTTCATATTGGTCTTTTGATGTTGTCCATAAAAACTTAAGTCTTACGCTGAATCTATACATTTTGCTTTGAGACCAAAATATTCTCAAAAAATTGTTAAAACAGAACTTGCGTTTTCAGAATAAGAAAAGGTCTGGGAACGCCCAGAAAGCACGATTTTGCATCATTTGTTCTATAGTTTCTTTGGGCCTTCAGCGGCTTCAAAACCCTTCAAAATTTTTTTGCCTCGCTCCGCTCTGCGTAAATATATTTGGCAATACTTTTAAAAGAGGCTAGTCTCAGCCCAACTCTAATACCGTGTATGTATGCAATACATGTATATGCAGTTTGGAATTCAGAAGATTCATTTCCGCAGAGGATGATGATTAATTCTGATTAAATGGTACATTAATGACTTGACTGTACATTTATTATTTACAATAAAAAATGAATTTAAAAATTGTATGTTTTCAAATATTATTAATATAGTTATGAAAATAAATAATCAGTCCCTTGTTTTAATGAAAATGAAAAATCTTGCTTCAACAGTGCAGGAAATAAATAACCGATCCAAAAAAAATCCTCCTGCCCCCCCCCCCCCCCCCCCCCCCAGAATATCAAATGGTCGTCCCCTTAAAGACTTTTAAACCTAGAATTGAATGCATATTGCTTGTTTCTTTTTATAGTATATGGTCTATTATTGCATGAATTAAATTACTAAATAAAACATTGTATAAATTAAACAGCTTAGACATTGAGGCATGATAAACAAGTTTGAAAGAATTTTAATAGAATTTTAGAGCATTAATTTACTTACAATATTAATCCGTTAATTTTGAATTCGCTTAAGACTGTTCGAATACTGTTCGAATACTTTTTGATATAGAATTGAATGCACGTCCAACAGTTTATAAGATTTCATTACAAAACAATAAAATGTGAACACATGTATAACATGTTTTATATGTTTTCATTGTCAACGCGGCTCTGTAAAATAATGTGACGTCGTAGGGGTCGATCTATTGTTCAGACTTTCAAACTTGTTTTATCTCATGATAAAATCTGGAGCGCTTTAGATATATTAAATTGAGGAGAAATCAAGATTATATTTTCAGCATTTGATACAAGAAGTCAATTTCTCAATATATTATATGATCATGTCGAGCAAACTATATATTCAAATAAGAATGAAAGAATCTATATATCTTATATATATGGGCAAACTATTTGACCTGATGATGATTGTTGCTAAAATCAAGGACTTGTTTAGTATACAAATCCTTGCTAAAAGTATTGTTTTTCATACCACCCTAGAATTAAGGGATAACAGTACTGTAGTTGAAGAGTTACCGCCGTCAATTGACGATTTGATGGTCGCAAATTGAGTTGTACTGGCGACGCGTAGTATAAAGTATAAAAGTTACTTGCATGATTTAATTGAAATGCTCTAGTAACTTGCAAAATTCATAAAAATCGACGTGTTCGCCAATTTTCGTACCAGGTACCAAGTATATAAATGATATAAGATTAAGATCTAAATAAAATTGAAATAGAAAAATTGATTATGTATATTATTTTTTCCAGCTGCAAGTTGGTCAAAGCATATTCTGATGTTGGTATTGACGCTTGGACTTTGTCTAGTTATTTTAAACAACTACAACGAGCAAAATGTTATTAACAGTGTATCAACAAATATTATAACTAATGTTTATTCTGCCAAACCTAACAAGGGAAATGCAATTCCAAGACCACTCAAGAAGTATGTTACAGTAGAATTTTCAGGTCGACTCGGAAACTTACTGTTTGAATATGCATCACTTTATGGCATCGCCAAACACCATAACATGACACCTATTGTAGATGAGGGATGCAAGTTAAAGAAACATTTCAAAATATCTGCTATTTCAGTTAAACCGTTAGTGAATTTAAAACGTTACGTGGAGAAAAAAGGAAACGTGTTTGAGGAAAATGTGTTTAATCTTGATACAAAATATAACTGGACACTCAAAGGCTACCTTCAAAGTTGGAAATACTTTATTGAAAATAGTGCTGATATAAGAAGAGAATTCCAATTTAAAGAAAATGTGCAAACAGAAGCTATTAAACAATTTCAAGAAATAATAATGTCAAAGAACATTACAAATGTGAACACATATACTTTTATCGCTGTTCATGTTCGTCGTGGTGATTTTGTTCAAAATCAACACTTTGTTGATTATGGATATACATCAGCAAATGAAAGCTACATAAATAATGCTATGACAAAATTCCGATCACAATTTTCAAATGCTTTTTTCATATTTTCATCAGACGATATATCATGGTGCAAAAACCATTTTAACAAATCAAACATAGCATTCATTAACAAGAAAAATTCAGCGGAAGTCGACATGGCGATATTATCGCATTGTAATCATACTATAGTTACCACGGGAAGTTATGGTTGGTGGACTGCATGGCTCATTGGCGGCACCACAATTTATTTTAAAGATTTTCCTAGAAAAGGATCAAAACTAGACAAAATATTTAATTCTACTACCTATAATCCGCCGCACTGGATTGCAATGTAGAATATATTTTTGAGCTACATTTTAGTGTCATATTTTATGCAACATTGAAACTGTATGAAGAAAATATGTAAATGAGTGTTTGGGTGATTAAAAAGAGTGTATATCATTTATAATGTATTCATTTTGATACATAATTATGTAAATGTAAGTTGTTATATTGTATAGCAGCGTAATATTTCCAACAAAGCGTAACAGAAAATTCACTGTTCTATGATTTTTCACTTTTGCAAATATACCGTATTTCTACCTTCAAATTATCGACGTCATCAGTGTCGAAAAGATGTTTGAAACAGTTTTTTCAAGCTTAACTAAAGATTAAAAGGGTTATTGCATGAATAGTGGTGAATATGGTATCTTATAGAATATATACTCGCACGCTCGTGCAATATAAAATTCTACGCTGGACAATATTCACCATTATCTTACCTCCTAAACATTTCTAGGACTATCATTGGTTAAAAGCAAACACGTGGAGACCCTGTATATTTATTTTGGGGTTAGTGGGCGTGTTTTATTTTATATATTGGGTTAGAAGCAGTGTTACGTACTTTTGTAAAAATACCATGACGTTGAAGAAAAATCTGAAACGTTTCGCCCAAACAACAGATGAAGAAATTGATGATGAACGACTGAAAATAAATGCAGAAAACACATTAAAGCTAACAAGTGGTTATTGATGGCATTTGTTTTTTAATAGACCAATGGAAGAAGGTTCCTTATATTCAATATGTGATACTAGTCTAAATGCCACATGCTAAGATAGTCGGTAAGATCAATTTGTTTCACAGTGTGCTTGTGACCTAATACGATATATATAGGGCCAGTTAATTCCATATGGGGTGAAAGCAAAGTCTGTGTAATTAATAATATTAAACCTTCTACTATTGTTCTATGTTAATGCAATGCCATATGTCTTACATTTGTCACACGATGTTTGGGTTTTCTTTATTACGCTTTGCAAAAGTAAACCCATAGGCTCCATTTCGCGGGATCATTTTGTTTCAGATAAAACCAAACAAACGTTTTCGAAAATGAATCGGTTGATGGACAGGTCAGCGAGAAAACAACAAAACAACACAGTTTTAACCAAAAGAGAGAAACATCTAGTAGGTGTCACCCATTAATCTGCAATTTTGCCTTGCTATAGGCCAACTAAGGACCCCTCAAAGAGTTGTTGCAAGGATTCTAAACGTGCAAATTTAAAACGTCCCCATTATGACCAGGCATGACTGCGTACTTTTACATACCGCAAAGCCAAATGGTCGCCCCACTTTTGTAAGGGTTTTACTGTCGGTCGAAAGAAGACCAAAGTGACCATATTTCCCCAGTCAGCTTTGGAGGTTCATAAATTAGATGTTTCTGATGAAAAGTAATTTAAATGGTCATTCGAATGAAGTAATGTGCATAATTTAATTTCCTCAAGTGATTGAACAGTATTGACTCATTACAACTTGTCAACTTTCAATTGACTATTTTGAATTCAAGTCTGTCGTCGAAATTGAGGTAATCGAGGCATTGATTATAAAATATAGGTAAACAAGCGATCAGTTTCAAAAATTCGTCATTCAAAGTTCCATTAATATCTAAATTTGACGATAGTTGTGATGCTTTTATAACTTGATCTACAATAAAAAAAAAAACACTTCTTTATTTGAAACCTGAGGTGCTCATGCAAAGCATATATTTGGACAACGTTTGAACAAGTTTAACTTAGATGAAATTATTATGGCTTCTGCAAAAATTTCAAGTTTCTTTATTTGATCGAATACTACATAAATTGTATAGATTTGTAAAGATTGTAAAAAATCTCCGTAAGTTCGAGCATCTTTGATAAAGTATTATTAAGTATTGTTTTAATTGTACTTTTATTTTTTGTTATTTATTTTACCGTTATCGTAGAATTAATAGCTTTTCCTGTTCTGATTCTTATTAAGAAATAACTAGATATGGTATGATTGCCAATGTCATTGACACACCTATCCATATTATTTCAAATCACGTGGATTCAAAGGTAATGTACGGCCTTCATAAATGAGCAGACCAATACCGTATATATCAGGCTATAAAAGGCCCCCAAATTACTACGTTTGTATCATTTCAGACGAAAAAAACCAACGGTCTGATGTATGACAAAACAATATGCGGTAAACAGATTTAACAGACAGCAACCAACAACTTACCACTAAATAACAGGCTCCCAACTTTTGAACAGGCACATACCGAAAGTGGTGGAGTTGAGCGTATTTGTGAGCACTCAATCCCTTTCCCAAACTTGAAATAATGGTGAAATAATTAGTTTGAAATGGCTTGACGTTAGATCGGCACGAAACACCAAATATAAAAAAAAATAAACTAACATAAAGACAAAAAACACAATGTACGATGAAGAATATTACAAAGTTACTAAAAGCTACATTGTAGTTCAAAGCCAATGGACATAATAAACATATCATGTTCTCCCAGACTGAAGTATCAACCCGTACAAGTCATAGGGATTTAATAAAACGACGTAATAAACAGGGCGAGAATAGCATAACCTTGTGCAATGCCAATATAAAAAAACATTATATCGACAGGATGTAAGATCATTGGTTTTATATGAATGCAAAGCAATACATATGTGGTTATGTTTTAATTTTTAAGAAAGAAGCCCAATGATAGTACCGATAAAAACTAAATTCAAAGATCATAATACGATGTGAAAATAAATGAATATTTCATTCAAAGGATCAATGATTGTATTCAAAATGTACTTGCCTTATAAAATAGCACGACATAACCGTAAGATTAAGATGTGATATCTTATTTTTTATACGAATTCTACAGGTACAGTCAAACTTCAAAACAACATTTTTGTATCCACGAAAGAGTTAAGTGAAAATTTTAAGTAATTTATGACTTTATAATTTACCAGTTATACATAGATTTCGATCATTGAAATTTAAAATAGCACTACATCCACAGACATAGCGAACGAATTCGAAAATAAATACACAGTAAGAAGGAATATCACCGTCCGAAAAAGTTACAATAGGGACGCAAATGTTTGCTTTGATTTTTCCGTGTGAAACTAAAATATCAAAATCTAGAAAAGGACATTTATTGTTGTTAATATTAGAATTATTTGATTTATGAAAAGCAAGTTCCCTTGGGTAAATAAACTCTTCATAGCTACCAAGATTACAATTTCGTCTAAAAAGACTCTTCAGTGGGGCTCGAATCAAAAAAGTTCAAAAGGCCAAATACAGTACGGAGTTGAAGAGCAGTGAGGACCCAAAGTTCCGAAAGGTTTTGACAAATGCAGCTATGGTAATCTTTTCCTGGGGTAGAAATCCTTAAGTGTTTCGAATGTCCGCAGTATAACTAGAGAATTCTTGATTATCTAAATTTATATTGTATATTCTGCTATGTTTCTTATGTAACTCTACTGATTTAGATTAAAAGAGTTTGGTGGTGATCTCAAGCAACTCGCCTAGCCGTCACAAATGTCGCAGTTATTGTCTCATGTAATAATCTTAATACTGTTTTTTGAAGAAGAATTTAGTGTTGATTTCAAATCTTTGGTTGCTTCTGTTTAATCTTTTAATATTTTTAGACCCGCAGACTATCTTATAATATAGATACTTTTCTATTGTTAAAAACTGTATATTTATCTCTAGATGTATGTTGGTTATTTGTGTTGGTGGGTTGCTGTGTCATTCAGATATACCCCACAACTCATTTTAATCATATCTAAGGTTATTTTGAAAGTTGAATGTCAAAACTAGTATGCTAAAGGGTATGATACTATCTAATATCAACAAATAAATAATAGAACATCCCATTCAACGAGGGGCTAATTTCTTGTGTTTTAAGGTTACCCGTTGCGCCACCCTATTTGAAATACAAGTCATTTGTTATATTAACCTCATTGACGAAAAGAGGCAGAAGATCACAAAGAGACAATCAAAAACTAGAAGTCGAAGAAAAACGGGCAATAGAATAGCAAAACGAATAAAAAAAACGGGCAATAAAATAGCAAAAAGGAATAAAAAAAACGGGCAATAGAATAGCAAAAAGAATAAAAAAAACGGGCAATAGAATAGCAAAAAGGAATAAAAAAAACGGGCAATAGAATAGCAAAAAGAAAAAAAAAAAAACGGGCAATAGAATAGCAAAAAGAATAAAAAGGGAAAACGACAGTCTACAAAACATTACACAGAAAACTCAAAGTGAGCAACATAAACCCAACTAAAAACCGGTGTGCCCCGGAATGATAAGCAGATTATGCTCCACTATTACTGAATATGAAAACGATATCTTACTTATGTCCCTATAACTTAAGAATTCAGAAAATACCCTAGAAGTTATTGAATCTAGTGTTTCTATTGGTATAGCTGAAGTCATCCCTTCGAAAGTTTGCTCAATTGAAAGATCGACTTCGCCATCTCATTAAACAGAGCTTTTTCTATAAAAATGGGAATCGTAGATATAAATTTCTTGTTTTGGGTTATAATAATTCTTATTTTGTGAAGAACCACACTGATTTTATAGCAAAATACAGTGAAGATGATATTATCAAAATTCTGGACTGTTTAATCGACAATGTATTTGTTGAGTTTTGAGGATTGATATTTCAACAGACAGTCGGTATTCCAATGGGTACAAATTGTGCACCCCTTCTGGCCGACTTGTTTTTGTACTCGTATGAAACAGAAATCATTCAGAACCTCCTAAATGACAAAAAGAAAAAGCACCTTACAAAATTCTTTAATTTTACTTTCAGAAAGATTGATGATGTCCTATCACTGAATACCCCATGTTTCAGTCAGTACTTGCATCTCATATATCCCAGTGAACTTGAAATTAAGGATACTACTGATACAAGAAGGACTGCTTCATACCTTGATCTTTTCCTCAATATTGACACAGATGGACGACTTCACACTAAATCTATGACAAACGGGATGATTTCAACTTCCCAATTATCAATTTCCCATTTCCCAGTAGTAACATACCATCTGCTCCGTCGTATGGTGTTTACATATCTCAATTGATAGTTATGCTCGTGCATGTTCACACTATACTGACTTCATATACAGGAGTGTGTTCCTTACACAGACTCTGCTCCAAC